TGTGTGTGTGTGTGTGTGTGTGTGTGTGTGTGTGTGTGTGTGTGTGTTTCTGTGTGGTGCTGGACATGGGCCACGCTGCAGACATATTCTGCACCTCAGCTGGGACTCGCTTTTTTTTTTTGTTGGCCAAAAGCGGACGTCTCCCTGTCAGGGGGCCACAGGAAGAAGGATGGGTTGGGGGGAAAGAGAACCCCAAAAAAAAAGCGGGGAGAGAATAATGACGGAGGCGCGGCGCTCGTCGTGATGTTTCGGACAATTTCGAGACAACCACTTAATGCGAAAAGACGGATGGTCCGGCAGGCCGTGCCAAGCGCATGAGTGCTGCCGCGGAAAGGTGGTGTCAATTATCTCCCTTTTCCCTTCTGTTGTCTGGCAGTCTGACTTGAGGGATCTGTTCTTTGGTCTTTTTTTTTTTAAGCGTTCGGACTCCGAACGCATCTGGCAGGTGGCAAACTCACAGCTCTTCTCAGGTGCTTCACACCCCAACTCTGCATAGGCTCACACACATTCCACCAGCTCTTTTGGGAGAGTTTGTGTTCGTTAGAAGGTGTGCAAGAATAAGGCGGATACATGAACAATTTAGCCCAGAGAGCTCAGTTTACACTGTGAAATTCTTTGCGTTACGTTGGTGTCAGGGAGGTGGGTCTTGGAGGGAGGACTCAGTCGCGGAGTGAGGGGAAACAGGGTTTATTGAACAAAAACAGGGTGAATGTCCAGACAAAGTACAAAACAAAGCTGTGGCAAACTGTGGGCAAAGTATCAAAGCAAGCAAACAAGACTGTGGAAAAACTATGACAAAGTAACAAAATAAAGATTAACAAGACTATGACAAAACGTGACTATGACTGTGGCTGTGGCAGAACTATGACGGGACAAACCTGGCGTGGGGGTGACGACGGACGAAAGGACAAGAGACAAGACAAGAAGGCAAGAACGACCCCGCACCAGACAAGGGGAAACGAGGACTATTTAAACACACGAGGAAGGGGAACCCCAGGTGCACACAATTGGTAATCAGGACATGACGAGACACCAGACGTGACAGTTGGCTCCAAAAGGAGAAACAAAATATATTTTTTACCGCCGTTCCTCATTGGCAAAAGCTCAAACACGAACGGGTGTCTTATCGGGGTCTCATCTAAGTTCAGTCTAAGGATCATTCTCAAGGGGTCTTGATTAGGGCTGTTTTGAACAGACCGGTTGGTCCAATCTCTCATTTGTTGTACAAAAGCAACGAAACAGCTTCAAATGCATGGCTGGATGAGACTGTGTTCTCCCAGAAAAACCCAATGGCCAATCGTTCATCACCTTTTTTAGTAATGAGAGTAATTACATATGAACTTATGGCAGCCATTGCAGTAGTGGTGGCAAGGAATGTATTATAGCCCAAAACAAAATAGTTAATTCAGAATTAAATAGTTTCAGTACAGTTTTTCTTTTTACTACTATTGACTGTGTTGTTCAGACCAGCTAACTTTGGTAAAGAAACAACTGAAGTAGCAAAGTGGGAAACGTTAAAGGGAGGAAATATTGCAGCAGCAACAAGGCCAAAATTATTTCAGGGAACGTAATTAGTTCCTTTTCCTCGTCACACCCTTCCCTCTGCACATAAGGTCTCACACCATGCCTGAGCTGACATTTATTTGCAGCCTTCACCAAGAAATGATGCTTCTGCTACTAACTTTAATGTATAATTTCCATCAGGAAGATGAGGGAAAATACAAGGATTTCTGTCACTACTCTTATAATAATGGTACTTTGATTAAGGTGTAATTTTTATAATGTGAAATGGTGATCTCCCCAGGTTTGTTTCCCTATAGAAACAACATGCAGGTATTTTTTTGTGGGGGAGGTTTTGGGAAGCTTTCTCAAGTTAACATGTCAAACTCCTCTGGCAGCTCATTTGACATCTGAAGTGAAAGCATTATCATTTCTGACAGCCATGTGAAATCTGCTGGTTGACGGTCTGATTTCTCCAGGCAGCTGACTGAACCGAACCCCTACGCTGTCACAAAGAAAGAAAACAGAACAGACTGCATTTTTGGACTTAATACGCAATTATAGAGCAATTATATAAGCAATTATAAACTCTCATAGAGAATCGTATTATATGCAACATTGTTTTGGTCGGATCCCCAATCATTTTAGACCTGTTTTGCATCACATCAACATTTCTTTTGCACTTCGAGGTCAACTGTGAATCAGCTCCTCCGTTATTTTTCTGGAGCGGTTTGCACGTCACAACAATCAGCACCACTCATCAACCACAATTTTCAGACATAGGACTGAGACAAGTATTTGAACGATTTTAGTTTGTTAATAATGAGGGTTAGATGTTATTAAAGTGGATTTAAGTGTCTCCAAAATGAACACAGAAGAGCCCGAGGCAGTGTCATAAAAAGCCAAAAGCCCAAACTTAAAATTGAAATACTCAGATTGAAGAAACTTGGAAAACAGAATGTTTGACATGAACTTTCTATCTGACTCAAGCAGTTGTCTGATCCAAATAATCAGGGAGTCTTTCTGTCTCCCTATTTAATAATGTAAGGTCTTAAACTTTCTACGAGGAGATTTAGCCAGAGGTTGTATAATGAAATTGTAGCTGTATTTGCACAAAATGCTGTGGACGCCTCACTCGCAATGTTCTTTTCCTTTTCACACACATTTTTGCCCGACAGAGGAAAGAAAAACACAGACAAATGAGAATTATTCAAAACACTTTCCGGTAAATAAAAAAAATGGTCAAAAGATGGACCATATTTGAGTCCAGTTTAGCAAACTGATGCTGCGCTGATTTAAAGTTTGACTCTATTAACTGGGTTTGTCTGTTTTTTCAGTCAATTTTAGTTAAACTAACATGTTCGCTTGCATGGTAAAAGTTTTTCTAAGTGTCATTTCAACATACAGCCAAGCTGTTTATTTTTTCCCTTCAGAAAACCTTGTTGTTAGTCTTTTCTTGTTTTATATAATGACATCACCATCATACATATGCTGCATATACACAACACAATTCTTTTGTAGTCAGTTTGGCCCGTAAGACAATGTGCAGCTGCTTCTCACTATGGTTCCTAAAGGAGGCACGCTGAAACAAAATGTTTTTCACACAGAGCGAGATAAGGAGGTTCTGTTCACTCCAGGGCAGGAAAACCTCTCCTAGCTTAAAATAGAATAAAACTAATAAATGGGCAAAACATGCTGTTCAAGATTTGGGGGATTTCTAATACTTTTTCCCCCCAATTCTCATGTTTAAATGCCATTCTAGGCCTTGAAACCACCTCAGCACAGCTAGTCACAGTGAGCACATGCTTTGGAAAGTAGGAAAATCCAATTTTCTTCTAGCCAAAATACTCTGTTGCTTCCCTTTAACTTTTTCCCCCTCAAACGTGTGTGTAACTAAATGTAAATGTGCTCTTTAGTAGAGATTAAAACAACTTCACTTCTGAAAAAAAGATGATTTTGTTACAACAATCAAAGATTACATCCTTGCAAAGTATTTTTCAGTCATTATTTTTTTTACAAATACAAGACGTTTACCTTCAGCATGTCAGCTTTTGATGCCGTATTTATGGTTCTGCAGTCCTGCCTGGATTTGTAAAACATGAATGACGCTTTATTTGTTTATATATAACATAGCTGGTCATGAATGGAAGGCGACCCGGGAATGGTGTAGAGACAAAAGCGGAGCTAATAGAGGAGCGTTTAATAGTCTGATCCCACCGCCAGGATGAAGACAAATGGTCTTAAAGTGGCGACAACACGCCTGACGCGCGCGCGCGCGTGTGTGTGTGTGTGTGTGTGTGTGTGTGTAAACCCTGCCCTGGCCCCAGACAGGCTTTTGTCAAAGTGGGTACACGGTTGGCGACACGCAGCAGCTGACAGAAGGACATGACACAGGGGGGCTGTTTAGGGAGGCGACAGGAATGCGGTGACCCGCCGAGGCATTCCGGTCGGGAAGGCCGGGGACGGCCTTTGATCTGGCCGGTCAGACTTAAAAGTGGGGCCTGATGTTTTGGTCTGGTCTCTCCCAAACGGCGCGGGCCGGGGGCCGGTTTGACCCTGAGGTGTAGCAGGTGTAGGAATGCGGCCCGGGATTTCTCCGCTATCTCTTGTTTTACAGGTGCAAAGTGGAGGCCGGGAACGCCGGGGAAGGCCCGGGAAGGCGGTCTGAGCCCAAAACAGGCTGCTCACTGTCCGGGGGCAGACGCTGAAACACTGCCTCATTGTACTCGCTGACCCTCTTTCCCCGTCCCCTCGCCGAAAGCCCGCGGGGTGATGAGAAACGTGCGTGACGGACTTTATATATCTGTGTCTTCCTGATGCTTTTTTTCTCTTTTCTCCCGCGTGCTGTTTTTTGCAGATGGTGTTGCTGGCGCGCTGCGAGGGCCACTGCAGCCACACCACCCGCTCCGACCCCCTCATCTCCTTCAGCTCCGTGCTCAAGCAGCCCTTCAAGAGCTCCTGCTCCTGCTGCCGGCCGCACACCTCCAAGCTGAAGGCGGTGCGGCTGCGCTGCGCCGGCGGGACCCGCATCACGGCCACCTACCGATACATCCTCGCCTGCAACTGCGAGGAGTGCAGCTGAGCGGGCCCCCCCCCCGGGCCCCCCCTCCCAGACCCCTCAAGACTCTCGACATCCAGCATTTTTTCCTTGGCCTTGGACCTCATTCTAAAGCTGTTCAGAGTATTCGGTTGATTGTTGGATCGGAAATTTGCCCCAGAGATGCGTGTCTTTGACTTGGGAGAGAAAGGTTTTTGAGGAATCGGATCGCCCCTCACGTGGTCCTTTAAAAGCGGCCCGCAGAGAGAGCATACTACACCTTCTCCGTGATGCGCATTCACTCCACGCGGAGCGCATTTAATCCAGCTCCCAGGCCAGACACCGCAAACTGCCGCTCCCACGGGCCGGCTCGAGACCCTCCTCGACCCATTACAGCCCCCCCCCTACCCCCCCCCCCCCCCCCCCCCAATCCGTAACACGCAAGGGCGAGAGGTCATTTACACGCGAAAAACCCACCAACAAGGCACGCCTCATCGAGCAGGAGCATGGGAACGGCCTCGGGGGGGGGGGGGGGGGGGGGTCCGCATGAGCCCCCCGGCATATGGGGGATCCATAGAGGAGCACCTGCGCGGTGGCTCCCTCACCCAATAACGTTTTTTTTACTCACTCCCCCGCAGACTTTCATCTGGCCGTGTAAAACAAGAGCGATGCTGACAGGAGAGCTCGTCAAGCGCACAGTAAAAAAAAAAACAGAGCCCCCGGAGATGAAAGAAGGGCCCAGGACGGAGGTGCGACTCTCAAGAGACTCTCTAAGGATGTCAGCGTTCACAGAAAAGGTGTTCAGTTTGAGTCTTTGTGACTTTTCGGCCAGCTGTGTTGTAACTACTTCTACTCCTTTCATGCCAGATTGATAAAAGTGCCACTAAACGCCTGTCGCGTAACTTCGCTCGCGTTTTGACTCTAAGGGAATTGGTTCTCAGCTCATTCTGTCTGTCTGTGACTCGTCGGCCTCCATAATTAAGGTCTGGCCACCTGGACTTTAAACACGCCAAGCCGCGTTTTCAAATGATTCAAAACTAGAACCCAAAAACGATCCAGAGCTTACATATTCACAAACGAACATGGGTATTTATAGAAGCAAAGAAACACAAAAAACTATATCCCCAGCCCAACAATTAAACATGCCCCGAGGAGTCTCCTTTCTCGACCATTTTAAACTTTCTTCCGAGTTGTCCTCTCTGCCCTCCGTCCTCCGCTGTGTGTCTTGGCCTGCTCTCGCTCTTACCTCCCTGCAAGCCTCTCCTTTTTCAGCACCCCCTTGGCATCAGATTTTAAGAAGGAAAAAGGGTTTTCTTTTCAGCTAAATCACCATTCCACGCTAACCTCAGTCATGCCTAAACCTAAATAAACACGTGAGAATGAATCTGAAGAAATAATGGTCTCGCACAGGGAACTCCAACTGCAGACACAAGGCACAACAAGGTGCTCGGTTTCATAGATCTCCAACCAGATCTTGCAGAACAATAATCCCCTCACTAACCCTCCCACGTCCTCATGCAGGCTTCTGTGTTTGCTCTTAAAGTTCCTGTGTAAAATTAAATGAAATGTTTGGGCAAAAAATGCAGTATCACATTACTAATTATATTTCCATTAGTGGAAATGTACATAATGAACAAACTTGTCATGGGATAAAACAAAAGTGGGTTACAGACAGAAGCTCTTTCTTTGTTTTGACATGTTCAATTGCTTTTTTAGAGGTAAAGGCAATTCATTATCGGCATATCCAGGATTATTGTGTGTGCTTACGGCAACAGTAAGTGCTTGTGTGGGTGGACAGATGATGTTTAAAAGGTAAAAGTGAGCGGCAATGTGTTTGTAAAGATATGTTAATAATGTGCAATGTGCTTTTACTGCCAGCATTTGTTTGTGCAGTCATCACTTAAACTACAATAATGAAGCAAACATTGTCAGAGTTTACTTAGATATAGTCTCTGCTCATCAGAGTCTGGTTCTGGCCCACTTATACCATCCTGTTGTTGCCATGAGTCCCCCTTTTGGCTGCATGGTTATTATATATATATACATTATATCTTTTCCTGCCAAAAAACTCACCAAAAACTCACTCCTTTTTAATGTTTCTGTCTCACATGCGTAAACAGAAATTCATCTGATGCCGAAAGGGTGCAAATTAATTTAAGATAAAAATTCTTATGTCACCACAATGGACTTAAAGGATCCATCCTTTAAATGCTTCTTTCAAACATTAGTCCAAAGTACCTGTGTGTTTTTGTCCAAGTGTCAGAAGTCAATGTAAAAAGTTCAGCTGAACTGTAAATGTTTGAAATGTGTATTTAGGTTGCAAAGTATTTCAGTTTTAGTTTGTCCTTTGCCAAAGGATAATGGAGTTTTTTTTCCTGGAATCTGGGACACAGAGCAAGTAGTGATTAGTTAGGTAAGTCTTCTAAGTTGTTCATTTTTTTCCAAAGAAAGGCTTTTCACCAGGGGGGGCTGCAAAGGGATTTATCTCAAGAGTAATGGAAATGATCTGGAGAAATTAAAATAAAGTGTCAAACGAAACGAATAAGCTGTAAAATTGCCTCAGAAATGCAATAACAGTTCAAATTTACAGCCAGCTGAGCAGCTGGAAAAGGAGAAAATTGTGTTTTCTTTGCTTCCATAAAGTTTTACATCTTAAAACGTGAGGTTATTGCCTGCATTGTCCTTGATATTTGAAAAGTGCTTCGGCTTTACGGAAACGCTGGGTCCAACTTGTACCCTCTCACCTAAAAAAAACAACCTGTGGCACCACAAAGTTAGACCTAAGAAATGGAAAACTGAGAAAGGTTGCCGAGGGTTTGGAGGCCCGTGGACGTCCAGCCTGGATTAGCTGAGCATCCCATTAAAGATGCCGTCTCAAAAAACACACGAGAGATGTTTGGGTCGGGGAGCTCACAGACTGACGGACTCTGTGTTTTTTCATCCACTGTTTGCACCCTGTACAGATGTTTTTGCCTTAGCGTTTAGCTGAAGTGCCCCCACTCTCCGTGGGGCTTTAAAACGCAACGTTTCAATCCCGACTCCAGTTTACAGCGCGACTTACCGCTTCACACGTGAGCCTAATAAAACCCTTTTCCCCCCCCTCTGCCTCTGGAGATTAATCTGCGTCTTTCTGCCGTCTCCTTCATCAGCGCTCACGCAAAAAGAGGAGGGATTTCGGATGACAAAGGAACAGATGTGTAATTTACCCGGGACCCCGTCCGACGGAGTGACGAGATAATAATGGCCGCCGCCACCATGCGAGCGGCTCTCGTTTCAGACACAAAGGGGGATGGTTTGAGAGTTGTGGACTTTCCAATTAAAGACGCAAACGTGTGATTAATCGCGTTGGTTGTTTGTTTTTTTTGTGTGTCCCGGTCTCTCTCTTGCAGGTGTGAGGCGGCCTGGCAGACAGATGTGGTCTTTATGTAACCCCCTTCACATCAGCCGCCTTCGCGCACTTATTCATTCCCGAGGCTAATCAGAACCATCTGAGCGTTTATTAAAAAATCATAGGAGAGAGGCATTTTATTGGCCCGCGGTAAAGGTGTCTCCTCATTATAGAGAAAACTCACGTCTGCGTGTTTATTATTCCGTCATAATCCCAGACATGGACCAGGGCCATGTGCTGGAGGCCTCACAATATGACCATTCACTGCCTTTTCACATTTAGCGCTGTGAGGTCCGTGATCCCGCTGTCAGCAGCCCAGTTTACCGAGAAATAATCATCACAATTACGCCGAGCCGCTAAAAAACGCTGATTCATCGATTTTCAGGTGCGTCCTAGGACGATAATTAAGCACCCAAGAGAATCGTAAAACAACTTTCGCTTGCAGTTTTATTTCAAATTAGCTCCTGATAGAAATATTAACCGCACATGAGCCAGTGTTATCCCCAAATGCTCGTTTAGCTCTCAGAATCAGGCAGCTTTGGAAAGAGCATATGAGAATCCAAATCACCCCTCCAGTTGAAACTGATGAAAAACGCCTGCCTGAAAGCACATTATGGTCTGCGTCAATTGAGTAAAGATTAATCAGTGGAGTCTGAAGCAGAGGTTGCGGTCCAGAGCACCATCTACATGAAAATGCTATTATAGCAAGTCCCATTCTCCACTGCAGGTGTCAAAGCAGAGATAAACCATCATTAACGCACGACAATTAAATCAAGACACAATTAGTTTACTTTTTTAACCCAGAATTCACAGGAGGAATGTAACCATGAGAAAAGTCAACGCCTGGATTTAACTAAGATGAGAGGTGAATTCCTCCTATAGGAATAGTGCTACAGTGATTAATATATTTGAGTTGGCTTTATTAAAGTCTTTTTTTAAAAGCCAAACGACCCTGTTAAAGAAAACGTCCTCACTTTATGGGAAAGATATTAGCCCTCCTCAGTAGAGTGAAGCTGTCGGTCTATATCAAGCAAACATGATAACTAAGGAGAATAGAACAGAATAGAAGGCCTTTATTACCACTATACACACACACTATTAAGTTTAAAGCCAACTCCAAAAAGAGTGCAAACAGTGTAAAAAATGTCTGAAATATAAACCTGGGTAAAAAAGGGAAAAAAGGTAAGTAAGGTGCACAGTTCTGAGGACTGTGTACATTGCAATGAAACAAGTAATGATACTATGAACCCTCTCAAATTAAAGATGAAATGGCGTCAGAAGAAAAAATCATCAACATTAACTCAGATATTCTTGTCAAATCAGATCAAATAAAAGGGGCTTATAGTTAAAACATAAGAGCAAGCTGCAAGTTCTGCCGCCCACGGGAACGGTGCTATCATTAAGAGTTGTTTCATCAGAGATTATTATCCTTTGTAAAAGTATCTGCCAGAGTTTATGTGAAGTTTAAATGAGGCTTTGAGAGTCTGTGTTAGCCGGAGGGAATTTCATGTTTACAAGGCCGTAAGTTGGAAGATTTCCACGTGATTTCATTAATTCTGCCTGCCGAGGCCTCATTAACGTCAGTCTCTGATGTATGAAAGTGATGTTTTTCTGGACGTGTCACGGTGACTAAATTGACCAAATCGGTTCAACAAAATGAAAGATCGCCTGAAAAGAGTCTAATGTGGAAAAACTGGGACGGAGGTCTTAGTGAAAAGCTTTCTAACAGAAAAGGACTGAAAAAAAGATTTGAAAAAAAAACAACTCCAAAACATGTTCCAAACTTTTTTTTGTTTCCTTTGTGGATACAAGGTTATGCAATAACTTTTTGTTGGG